TCTCCTTCCCTCCCTCCCTCCCTCTCTGCTTTGGCATTTGTGAATTTTTAAGTAAAAAATTTTTAACTTCTTATCTAAAAACCTTCATGTTTATAATTTTACAATAATTTATAACATTTGCAAATCACCCAAGAGTTTGTAGCTTATTATTTTATTTAGCGTATAAGAATGTCTAGTAGCAAATGAGAACCAAACTCTGAGTGAAGTACCATATGTTAGCTTATTGATGGACTATTAGTTTTTAAGGAATGTTGTAACAAATTACCATAAACTAGGTGGCTTAAAACAATAGAAATTTGTTGCTCTCTGTTTGGGAAGCCAGAAGTCTGAAGTCAAACTTCCAGCAGGTCCATGCCATCCCCACAGGCTCTAGAGATGGATCTTGCCTTGCTTCATCCAGCTTCTGATTATTGCCAGCAGTCCTTGGCTGTCCTTGACTTGCACACAGAGCACACCTATCTCTGCCTCTTTTTCCCCGGTGTTGTCAGTGTATATCCGGTGTCTCATCTCTTCTCACAGGGACTCCAGGCATATTGGATTAAGGTTTAACCTTAACAGTGAGTCCAGAGGGCTCAGGTCTGGGAACATGCTATGTATGGTATCCAGTCTGTCACTGAGTCACTTAATCACTGGGTTGTTTATCCAGGAGTCAAAGTTCCAGGACTCAGCATCTAAATGGCCAAGTTTGGGTCACACGGCCTAACTGTGCACAGCACTAGGGCAGACAAGGAGAGACTCTGTCCCTTTCAGGTACTATATTGTAAGGATATTCCTGGGTTAGCACCTCAGCAGAATGGAAGAAGCCATTCCCCAAAAGGAGCCAGATGAGATTAGAAAGAAAAAGTCAGATCTGGGCTGCCAGGTAGAGAAAGAGAGAGAGAGAGATCTATATATACATTTTCATGGCTGTTTACAAAACATGTGTGACCTAAAAAGAAAAAAAAATGAATTCTGCAAATTCACCACAGCACGTCTGCATGACATTAGGAAAACTGAATATACAATTCAAAAATCATTTGTCCAAAATGTTTGGGCCCAGATGCATTTCAAACTTTAGAATATTTCAGATTTTAAACAAACAATACAGTGCATGTACCATGTATTATGTAACATTCCAGCAAACTGTGCAGTTGCATCTTATATCAAATGCATAAATATTTCTGCAATGAATTTCTTGAATATTTATACTAAATAATAGAAAGGATCCAAAAAAACAATCTCATACTAGTTTAGGAACTAAATAAATTCAGGTCAGATAAAGATTTTCTGTCAAGTTTTTTTTTTTTTAATTGGAAGACTCGGATTTTACTTTTCCCTGAAACTCACAAAGCTACGAAGTCTAAGCAAATCCAAGTTAGGCCAGCCATAAAGCAACCCAGGTAATTCTATATAATCTACAACCTCCATTGAAACACAATCTGTAATCTACAATTTGCTTTATAAACTCTCCTACAGCTAGCAAATTAACTTAGCCTACAACCACTCTTTGAAGCCTTCAGCTGTTGTCATGTGGCCTTGAGCTCATGATCTATCCAAGAAGAATAAAAATCTGGAAGAATAAAAAAGCAGTTCTTTTCCAACAGCTACTTAGATATATGTTTATTCTATACATAGTTCAAATGAAAGTTAAATATCTGTGCATTAAATTCATTTCTATAATGCTAAAATTTAGTGGTCTTTATCTTTTGGTATATGAATTATTTTTTTCTCAGACTATAAAAAAATCTTTTTAAATGATCTGCATCTTCATTGTGTAAGAATGCCATTTTACCATATGACTGTGATCACTTTTACATGGAATGAAGATAAATTATTTATGTCCATAACAAGTGGTTTGATTTTTTTTCTTTTGGTTCTGATTTGATTTTTCAATTGTGGATGAATTGTTTTGTCTTATGCAGGGTATAATAAGACTCAGAGTGCAAACAGGAGAATTATTGCTCCCCTTTAAAAAATAAATTTTAACCGAAACTATTGTTAAATGTTGTGGAACCTATGACATATCATATTCACAGATAAGAATTAATAGTGTTAAAATGTCAATCCTCACTGAAGCAAAATACTTGAAGTGAAATCTCTCTTTTAGAAATTTATGGGTTAATTCTAAAATGTATGTGTGTCTATGTGCTGCCGAAGTGAACACTAAAATGTATGTGTGTAAATGCAAAGGACCTAGAATAGCCAAGACAATTTTGGAAAAGAGACAAAAGCAAATAACTAACCTACCTAATTTCAAGAATTAGTACAGAACTCTAGTAACCAAGAAAGTGTGCTAAAGACATGTGGATCAATAAAACCAACTAGAAAGTCCAGAAATAGATCTCCACTTGAATGCCAAGTGATTTTTGGCAAAAACACTAAAGTAATTCAATGCAAAAAACACAGTAGCCATTTCAAAAATTGGAACTAAAGTAACTATGTATTAATGAGGAGAAGGAAATTAATCCAGATCCCTACCTCACACCATATGCAAAAGTCAAGTCAAAATAGATGAGGCCTAAATACAGAAGATCAAATTTTTTAAAAAGTAGGACAGGGCCAGGGATTTAGCTCAGTGGTGCCGCCACCTGCCTCAAAAGCACAAGGTCCTGAGTTCAATCCCCGGTACCAAAAAATAAAAAGGAGGATAAAAATTGTTTGACATTAGAAAAGATTTCTTGGATCACAAAAAGCATGTATCGAGAGAGATGATAGAGTGGACTTCATCAAAATTAAAGATTTCTGCTCTTTGCAAGAAGCTGCTAAGAAAATTAAAAGGTGAACCATTCCCTAGGAGAAAACATCTATTTGACAAAGACTTAATTCCAAGATGTATTAAAAAACTTACAAATGCACAGTAGGACAAGCTATCTAATATTTAAAATTGAATAGGTGTGCGGGCAAAGCTCAGGGGTAGAGCTTTTACTTAGATGCATGAAGTCCTGGGTTGGATCCACAGCAGGGGAAAAAACACCTGAGAAAATGATTTGAACAGACATCAAAAAGAAGACATAAAAATTTTCCACAAGAAAAGGTATTCAACATTATTAATCATCAGGAAAAATGACAAAACCACAAAATGTGTACAACCATTAAAATGGCCAAAACTTTAAAGACTGACAATATCAACATTTGGTGAGAATCTGAAGCAATGGGAACGCTGCATGCTGCACCCACTGTGACACAATGTAATAATACCTTAAGATGTTAAACATACACTAACCCTTTGACTCAGCAGTCTCATCCCTACATATTCATCTAAGAGAAATGAAAACATGTCAACAAAGACTTGTAATAAATAAAGAACTTTATTCACAATAGTAAAAAAATGGGAAAAGTCCAAATTTCTATCAACAAATGAATGGATAAACACATTGTGTACATTTGTATAAAAAATACTGTTCAGCATTAAAAAGTATGTACCATTAGCATATGTAAAATCATGGATAAATCTAAAAATAAAGCTTAGTAAAAAATCCTGATACAAAAGATTATTAACTCACATGAAACACTTATAAAGCTATATCTAGTCTTTGAGAACATCAATAGTTTTATGGGGTTCAGGAGAAAAGAGACTGGGTGATTGGAGGCAGAAAAGAATATGATGAAAATGTTCTATATTTTGATTGTGCTGATGGTTATGTAGAGTATACATTGGTTAGAATTATTTAAATTTTACTATTAAAGTGGATTCATTTTATTGTATGTAAATGACACCTCCTTGGAGTTTATGGTTTTCAAAAAACTGTATTAACTCTGGTCCCTGAGATTTTAATGCTCCAGCCCAAGGCAAGATGGGGTCTTTCCTAGGCTAGGTTGTAGCTCAGTGGTAGAGCACTTGCATAGCATGGGCAAAGCCTGGGTTCCATCCCAGCACAGAAAAAATGGAAAAGAGAGGACTTTTTAATAGTGTGCTGGTGGATCTGTAATCAATATGATATTCTTATTTGAAATATCTGAGAGAAACATTATTTAGAAACTTTACAGAAGTTAGCATACATTGAAGGGGTTATATACATTATCATAATTAACTGAAAAGGAAGTACATAAGAAGAAAGCCCTCATTTAAAAGTGAGGTAAGAGGGAGGATGCCCAAGAGCTACTGTAACAAAGAATCACAAAGCAAATGGCTTAAAACAATAAAAATTTGTTGTCTCCCAGTTCTGGAAGCTAAGATACAAGCCTGAAACCCAGGTGTCAGCGGGGGCCATGCTCCCCCTGAAACCTGCAAGGGACCCCTCCTTTGCTTCTTCCCAGCTTCTGCTGGTTTGCTGACACCTTTGGCCTTCAAGGTTAGCAGCTGTGTAACTCCAGTCTGCCTTTGTGATCCTGCAACAGTCTCCCCATCTACATAGTCACTTGGCCATCTCTGTGGGAGGACATCAGTAACATGGAATTCAGCCCACCCAATTCCACCATGACTTCATCCAGGTACTGAGTGTTATGACATCAACATACCTTTTGGGAGGGTTCTTGGGGAAAGTACAATTCAACAAATAACAAAATTGAAAATATTGAAATCACTTTTTATTTCCAATAAGCCCAAATAATCTCATTCTATCTCTTACTGACCAGAGGTAGATTTATTAACTCATTCATTTATCCAGTCATACACTCTTCATTTAATGAATGTGTATAGAGCACCTATAATGTACCAGGCAAGATGAATAAAAAGACCTACTGCTGTAGAACTTGGGTCCCATAAAAGGAAGAGTGCCAGTAAACAAACCCTTAAACGTTGTGGTTGCACCACCAGAGACATTTATTCAAAGTTCAAAGTTGTCAGAGAGAAGAAAGTGACTACATACTTACCTATTCTTGGGCATTTCCAGGAGACTGTGGCATCTGAGTTGAGGCCTCCAAGAAAGGCCTTCTTTCCCTAGGAAAGACATGGCAAGGGTTAGGGCACAAGGATTACTTTTTCCAGGCAAAGAGACTAACAGATCTGAAGACCTGGAGGTGTGAGGAGACTGTAGCAGGCTCGGGACATTGTGAGCAGGGTATTGGTACTGGGCTGTGCATTGCACAGGGTTATGAGGAGGCGCACAGAAAAAGCCCAAAAGGTTATCTGGGGCCACATAATGAACAGTCTTTTGTACCAGTGAAAATTAGATGTTAGTCCATGAAAAATAAAAAGCCAATTACAAGTTTTTTTAAGCAAAGAAGTAATGGTAAATACTCATATTTATAAGCAAAGAAGTAATAGTCATATACATAGAGTGGAATTTACTAAAATGAGAGTCAAAAAAGTGAGACCGGCCAGGCGTGGTGGCTTTTATACCTGTAATCTCAACTACTTGAGAAGTTGAGGCAGGAGGATCACAAGTTCAAGGCCAGCCTGGGCAACATAGCTAGACTCTGTCTCAAAATGAATAAAAATAAAAGGGGCCTGATATAGCTCAGTGCTTGTTAGGGTTTATATCTAGGGTCCCCCTGAAGCTCATGAAACCATAGGTGAGGCTGTGGAGTGGTGATTGGATTTGGGGAGCAGTATCACTGGTTTGCTCTGGGAGGGGGAGTCTGGTCAGAGGAGACAGGTCACTGGGGACATGGCCTGGAGAGGTTTATCACTCCTCCCTGAACTCTGCTTCCAGGAAGCCGTGTCCTTCTCCCTTGCTGTCCTTCCTTGGAACCAGCCAACCATGGACTGAAACCTCTACAGACTGTGAGCCAAAATAAACCTTTATTCTTTTGAGTTGCAGATGTCAGGTATTGTGTCTCAGGGCTGAACAATGTGACTATGACAGTACTCCCAGGGTTTAATCCCTGGTGTAGAGGGGAGACAGACGGAGAGAAATCAAATGGCTGCCCTGAACAGGCAATTGAACAGGAAAATAAGAAATGACTTCAAGGGATATTTAAATGGGGGAAATGAATGGAAACAGAAGCTGAGGAAACGGGAGAACTCCATAATTACTTTACAGTATTAAATGCAGAAGAGAATATGGGTAAGAGACGTGTATTTAAAGATTTCGAATTTGAAGGTTGGTGTGGTGGCACAGGCTCTGGGAGACTAAGGCAAGAGAATTATGAGTTCAAGCCTAGCCTGAGCTACTTAATGAGCAGTGAGACCTAGTCTCAAAATAAAAATAAAAAGGGTAGGGTGTGTTGCTCGGTGCACAAGCCCAGAGTTCAATCCTCAATACCAACAACAACAACAAAAGGTTTAAACTTGATTATTTATTTATGTTCCTCTTTTTAGTATAAGGGGATTTGGGGGTGCTTTTTAGGGATAGAAACATTACAGTAGGTTAAAAAGATAAATGAGGAAATGAAGGTGAAGAGAAATAAGTTGAAGTTTAAAACTGGCACTCAAAGTGCATGCTGTATGATTTATATGGTTACTTGATATGAGACAGATTTGGCATAGAATTTAATAGCCAGCACAAAGAGAAAAATCATCTCAGTGCAAGATTCACAGTGTCCAAAGGGTAAAAATCAGAACCCAGCTTTCCCTGGCACTGAGAATGGAGAGAAATTTCTCCTATAGAAATGTAATACACATTGAGCTAGAAGAGCCAGCAGGACAAGGGCACAGACAAAAATATGAATCCAGAATTCAACAGAGAGGTTGGATGTGGCGACTCAGACTTGGAAATCATTGTCATAGGTGCACATGTTCTTCAGAATTTTGTATTGTTACCTCATTCACCACTGTAAGAATTTCATTAGCATTGGGAAGCACATTTTCTATTAAAAATAAGAAAATTGGGGCCAGGAATGTAGCTCAGTGGCACGGTGCCTGCCTGGCAAGCACAAGGTCCTGAGTTCGTTCCCCGGTACTGCAAAAAAAATAAAAAGTAAAATAAAAATTAGAAAATTAAAGATTATCAGTGCAGAAAACTGTGCCAAGAAAATTGCCACTAAGTCCAGTTTCTCAAAAGCCAACTTTAGCTTACTCTAAATTTCATGTGAGGATCAGAGTGGTACCATTCGTAACTCCACTTCTGCAGTTAAAATTACCCAAGTCCCACCCACAATCAACTAGAAAGGTATATCTAGTCCTTATTGTGTAGAATAATGACCAGGGTTTTGTCTCCACTTTATTACTATTGTACACATGTGTCAAGTTAGTTCAGTCTTGAGCTCATGATTTTAGGAAGAAAAAAGAAAGAGGCACAATTCAGCCATAACCAAAATGTATATTTTTAAGATAACTAATGTTCACCATATGCCCATGCATGCTTCCTTGAAAAGTAAGATAAACTTTCAGATTTTCTCTGCTGCTGACCTAGAGAAAGAAAATGTATGCAAGTGATTTAAAATCTTGAGTAACTCCATTCCCTTGTTTTGACTCACAGCTATCAGCTTCACATTCGAAATCAAAGTATGGACCTGGAGAATTCATATGCATTTTAAGAGACATTTAAGGGAATTCATTACTGCTGTTAAAAGTTTTAAGCATATCCTGATGGCATCTACCTAGAATTCCCCAGAAGCCACTGGATTCAAACTTTTATCAAGTTCACACATTATGTCTCTGAAACCACCTTCTTCTGAAAAGTGAAAGGGCCATGGTCAAGAAAATTCCTTCTGGTAGCTCTAACCCTTTTGATGATCTAACGTATTTTTCTCTTCACCAATTAGAACACTGAAAACTTTCACATTATTTTATAGCCATTCTCAACTTTGATATAATTCTTTGAAATATGTCTTCCTTATTTAGACTGAGATTACACTTATAATTAAAACATAAAAATAATACCCTTTTAGCAGTATGTCTTTATGCTGTAACACTACTAATTTTTAATGTTTCCATGATGATCATGGAAATTCAGCTTCTCAGTGTGTAAGGAGTTTAAAAGTCAACAAAATGATAAAGAAAATACTGGTGTTCATTGACATCTGAGCTTACTATACCCTCTTTTCTAAAGCAAAAATATATTAATAAACAGTTATACAGGTCCAGTATGGAAATTGAATTTCAGAAAAACAGCAGTCTAAATCCTGTATTTTGCTTTCAGGTTCAGTGGATTTTTATCTTGAGTATTAGCTTAAAAGATTAACCAACTATTCATTTCATAAACTTGAACACCCACCTCACAGTAGAAAACAAATTGGCCTTTGGAGTTTCCCGATAAAGTGCTATTCAAAGTGGCTCCATAATCATTAAAACATAGAGTTAGTTTTGTGAATGGCATCAGTGAAAAATCTTTCTCGTGTAAAGAAAGCAGTAGGAATAAACTTTAAGTCAAAGGCAAGTTCTTCTGGTCTCTCATCCACAATGTTTATCCCAGTGGGATATGATAGTCTGTGCAATTGCTAGGTTCCACAATAATTATAAAGAGCAATAACATGTGGTATGAATAGAACATGTAACAAAGAACAGCAGTAGATGGTAAAATAAACCACTGGTTATGTCAAAACTAATAACTTATTGACTCATGCAGGGTCCATGAGTTAAGAGGTCAGATGAGCCCTGTGTTTAAGCTTTACTAATAATACACATGGCTTTTCTGGTTCATCATTTTCAACAGTGGCTTCAGAACCGTGTTAAGGATTATGTGAGATTGACTGGGTTTCATTAATGGCTTATGTGAGAACATGTGCCCCTATCTTTGAAAGAAAGGTTCAAGATAGTCAATGTAAGCATTTGCCTTTTTGCAGCTTCTGGAAAGAGGTGGAGGGTTCTGAGACCTCTTGTCATGAATACAGCATTTGCTATCATAGAAAACACCATCCATATTTTTTTAGAAATGGAAGTAGTTGTACAATATGACACCCAAAGTATCTTTAAAATGTTATGTATCATAGTGTACTTTAAAAAAGCAGGGCACTTCTCATTGATCTTCCTATTTTACTTTGATTTAAAATGGAGATCTTTCTTTCCTATTGAAATCTTTGCATTTTTATTTATAAATATATAGGGGAAAATCCATTTCAGGCATATGCAGCCTCATAAATTATGTTTGGTAGTTGAAACAGTATGCGCCTATGTCACGGATTGAACATCCTCCTTTATTAGGATGCTATTTATTGCCACCAGCTGCACTGCTTAGCTAAGAAAGTTCTTGACACTAGCGATTGCTTTTCAGCACCACCGCTTCCGGCTGCTAACAGGGGCTTCTATTTCCAAATGAAGCCACCCCTCTCAAGCACTTCCTTCTGCTACACAGATATCTCCTGTCATCGTGATGCTGGAGAAGGGTGGGGGGAGGGACTGCACCCACTCATGCTCTGTGATCTCCTGCGCTGTAAATCTCCATGGCTTTAAGATTTCTCCCCTAACAGCACAGGCCTGAAAACTGTCAAATACATTCAGGCAATCTACCCAACAGTAATGGATTTTTTGAAATTAAGATGTGAATTTAACTTGTAATCAAAGGGTGTCTCAGAGTCATCAGCATGGATTTCAGAAGAGAAACATGGTGCATATCAGCAGTAGACACTGGTCTCTAGTTTATTACATTTTCTAGCAGGGAAAACTAGACAAAGGTAATTACTCTTCTTCGGTTAAAGACTATTATTACACTTGCATGAACAGTTAACCCTGCTGTTATTTTCTCCTCTGCCTGTGTCAATGGCATCCAGACTATCCAAGCAGGAAAGGTATAGAAATAGGGGTCTCAGCTCATTTCCGATTGCACGGTAAGTCCACTTTGAAAGGTAATCTTCCGAGCCACAAATGTGTGCACCAACACACCAGCATGCACCATTATTTGTTGATGGGATCTGTGTCCGTGTCTGGTGCAGACAAGTTTGAACACTGGCTCCTTTTTAAAAAAAAATGCTTCCACACATAATTGGGCTCCCAGAGCCTACAGAGCTAACAGCAGTAGTCAGTGACAGGAGGAGACCTCCTTCTGTTAACATGGAAACAGAGTTTCCTTGCTCTCCTCCAGAAAGGAAATTCCCTCTAGGTCAAGGTTGAAGCTTTCT